AAAAATAACACATGTTTGCCTCTACCGCGGGGTGAAATTAATTCAAGTAATTGGGGGGCAATATGAAAAAATCAATAATTCAAAGGACAAAGTCAAAATTGAATCCATAGTAAAAAGGGTGAATTTGCAATTTTTCCTAAAAAAAAGAGAGAGGGATAAACATAAACAATTAAAACCAAAAACACCTAATTAGAGGTAAAAAAAAGGGTTCCACAATGCATTCTCCGTCATTGCTTGTACATTTTGATATTTTACAAGCTCAAGCTCGAAAGACATAACCTTCTTTGGTAGCTTTGGATTTCTCAACTGAGTAATACCAACAAGGAAAGGGAAAAAAACTTTCTCTGCAAACTTATAAATTGCCCATCTTTCTCTCTTGCTTTGTCCTCTGTAATGCCACTCATTACATGGGAATCGACCCACCAGCAGCCAAAACTTGTTGCTCCAGCTACATTCAAACAAGTGAAATGAGATTGGCTTTTGGATATTGAGACAGAGAATAAACCACCTAGTTTAACTTCAAACAATGAGATTTTGCACACCAGTCATCACCTTGAAAAGAGTTTCCAGTTTGTTCTTCACAAGTGAATACTCACTCTTTAATTGTTGCAGACATTTTAGGCACCTGCGTTATCTCTCTTAGTCAGAATAATTTTCAATAATAATAGTAATTTTTTGGTAGCATTGTAAAAGATGATCTGTAGTCATAGATCTTCAGTTGATTCATTTGTAGCTATTAGTTTTGAAATTAATAGACTAAATTGAAATAAAAATACTTTACACGTGTCATATTTGCATTGGTTGAAAAAAAATGACGTATAACTTTTGAGTACCATAGTTCGAACTCGAGAAACTCACCCTTCAGTATTCTGTTCATCGCAATAGTGGCGGAAGGCAATGCAAACCTTTTGAACTCTTTGTGCTCCTATGCTGTTATAACACAGTCCAAAAAAGATTAAAAAAAAAAGGTTTTAAGCCCGAAAACTCCTATAGTCAAATGCTACTGGAAGATGCAAGAACAAAAACTAGATCTGTTGCACCAAGTTTTTTATTGATTACAATAGTTAAGTAAGAACAATTAGTGTTTGATATGCTTTCCCTAATCAAGATGTTGGGAAAATATATTTTCTGATTTTCATTGACATGCATTCACCATAATGTTGGCATATTAACTCTAAAACCGAAATTTTAAATGTAGTTTTCCTCCAAGATAAACATTTTAGAACTACTCAACCAAAAAAAAGAAAAGTTTAAAATTAACCAAAGTTCCATTCAATCTATACAGTAGCTGATTAATTTACTGCAATCATATTCGTGTGGGATTAAAATAGAGCGATTCTATTGATGAGATATAATTTGAGGATATAATTTATATGAGTACTTAATGCATTGTGTCTATTGAACTAGCTGTGAGTCCTAACAGTGAATGAAGTTTACTACCAATCTAATGATCATTGCCGTGATAAATGTGCTTATTTTCAATTAGGGAAAACTAATAATCACTCGATTAGTCATAGAACATGATAAGATGGACATTTAACAATGGAAGTTATTTTTATATGTGAAATTGAGTTTCATGAAACAAATACATCATAAGGTAAAATAAAATGACAACTCAACGCATTAGGCTTCTACCGCTACTGGATCTGAGAGAAAGGCAGTTGTGTGGAACCTTAGCTATTGATGGAGATGTTGTTTCTGCACTACAATCCTATGGGGGGGGGGGGGGGGGGGGGGAAGACATGCAATTACCTGGAGCTGCTACCCTTCAACTGGTGAACATGGGCATCCAGCCTCTTGAAGTCTGAACTTTGCTGATGTCTGTAAGCAGTGAGCGTGAGGTAAAGAATAAAACAAGGAAAAAAAAAACAAACAATTTGAGGCAATGAGATGTTTCAGAAGTGTTAAATATCTTTAATGTTCAAAATAAGTAAACCCATTCCAAAGAACTCCACAAAGAATTGTTGAATAAGTAGTTGAGGTAAATGCTTACAGAGCTTTGGTTAGTTCATTAAGAAGCCTCTGAGAATCTTCAAAGAAGAGAGACACCACTTCAACCACAAAGTCTGGGTTACTCTCATCTTGCAGTTGCTGAAGCTGGATGAACTGATCATCCAGAAATCCCTTCTCACACACAATAAACTCATCATCAAAAGCCAACCCAATAACCCAAAAAAAAGATCAAAGAAAAATAAAAAATAAGATGTTCCATGCATGAGACTTCGACCATTAAAGTCTAGATAGGGTCAAATATACGTGATCTTAGCATAAAGTTGTTTCCACTGTTCAAAATTTTGACACTCAAGTCACAACAAAACAAGAGGCTTCAAGACTCACCCTCAAAGAAAAATCAAGCATATACGGAGAAAGACCAGCAAATACCATCAGGGTTTTCTTCTACACTGAGGTTTACTGTTTAGTTTCAGGGTACTGACCTCATTGTACAAGGAGGTTCTATACTCAACCAACTGTCTTTGCAACTGAATTACACCTTCCATTGTGGCTCTATCAATCTCAAGTACCTCACCAACCTGCAGATCTTTATGTTTTCACTTCATGGAAAGTGGAGTTTATTCAATTTTTCTTAGAAAAGCTCAAGACAAAAAGATTTATTGAACCAATGGACTTGAAGTGAATGGATGCTGGATAGAGTGTGTATAAATAGTCACTTATTTTCACCTCTGTGGGTGTGTTTCTGTTCTTTTTGCTTCCTTTCTGTCTCAACCTACCATCTATGAGCAGTTATAGCTCATTACATTTAAAAGCTGTCACAAGATCCAAAATTTGATGCCATGTACCATTCACCTTCCCATCTTGCTCTCTTCTTTTTACCATTAATTATTCTCTCTCTCTCTCTCTCTCACACACACACACACACATTTTATTTGCATCTGTGGATTTTCTTTTATTTCCCTCTTCAAGATGCTAACCTGTCCGTAAGGACATGTGCATGACATTACTGTCCATATTAAACCCCCTGTGGGAATGACGTAAAAGTTATAAAAAAAAACCCTATTCAGCTTTGAGTTCCAAAAACTCTGTCAATACGAAGGTAAAATTATACGTTTTACACTTTTCGGACTCCATAGTGACGGAAGTCCTTTTTATGCTATATTTACGTTTGTATTAAATGTGACGTGATGCTATGAAAGTCGTTTTCCTTATTGACTTGTAGAAACTATGAAAATGGAAGTGTAAACTTCATTTCTTAACTTACAAGATCAAGTTGGTGCACTAAAGATAAGATTTGTTGTTGTTCAAAAAGATCAAAAAAAAAAAAAAAAAAAACCTCTTACCTACTCCTCTCTTTTCCTTTTCCTTATCTTTTCACCTGTGCTCTTACTCTTCTGTAGATTCTTAGTCAATTCAATGATTTAATTTCTTGTTCTTCTTGTTGTCTGAGGTGCTGTTGTGGTGTTGCTTGATTGGTTAGTGGACTGTTTAATTGAATAGGTAGTGCTCCAATAAATGTCGGGACTCACAGTGAAATTAATGGTTATAATTGTCAAATCTAATTTTTAAGTCTATGTAGCATTACTTAAAAAGAGTAATGTTATATAAATTTAAAACTTAGACTTAAAAATTAGATTTGATAATCTTAACCATTAAATAAGTAGTGAGTATCAATAAATGTTGAGACACATAGTAAAATCAATTGTTCTAATTATCAAATATAATTTTTAAATCTATATAGCATTACTCTTTTAGAAAATCAAAAGGGACAATTGACAATAAATACATGTCTCTGCAGCCTTGTTTTTGGCTTTACACTCCCAACTAGGGTGTAAAGTTTAACTTCATGCTGTGATATTTTTTTATTTGTTTTTTTCACATGGGATGAAGAATTTTGTCTAATATTATACACTTTTTGCTTGTCAGGAGTGACACGTGGCACCATGTTGGGGACAATATGTATTTGTCGATGTTTTTGGATTCAACCTGAGAAATGATGTTATATGGATAGATAAAGCTGGAGTGACCCGACTTGGTGATAATTAAGTTCTTCGACAAATCATAATATGTAGTTAGGCCAATAGTTGAAAAAGAATGATATTTACAAGCACTAATATATTGCAATCCAATTTTGTTTGTGATGTCATCATTGTAGAACCCTTTTCATAAAAAATTACCACCTGCAACTAGCACACTTCTATTAACATAGCCGCATCCCATCACCACAACTCACCTCCAACTTCGTTACTACTACACCCCACAAATTCCTCTACAAGTTGTGGAGAAGGCCACAATGAAGGAGAGAGAGAAAGAATTTCAAGTTTTTTATTCAGTGGCTTACGATACATAAATTTAACCTGGTCAGACTTATTTTTTCATGAAGATTTCATTGATCTAGTTAGATTTAAGTTTCACGTTGTGTGTGTGGTCGAATTTGTTTTTGAAGCTTCAAATAGTTATGAATTTTCAAATAGGTTACATAGCAAACAATATTTTCTTCCTCAATTGAGGCTTTAGTTGTGTTATGTAGTGTATTGGAGTGCTTGGAAGTCATGGATGAAGGGTGTGTGCTGAAAAAATCCACTAAGATTTAAAATTTTGAAAACTTTGTTAAATCTTCAAAAGGGGAATTGGATCTAGCTAATTTGGGGTCAAGGAGTTCAAAAATTACCTTATATTTGAGCAAAAACAAGTCGTTTGCTGGGTCAAAAATGAATTTTCAGGTTTGGAAAAAAAGAGAAAATTAATGGTAAAATTGGTAATTTAATTTTTTAATTTAAGAAAAAAATTATTTATTTTATAATACGCACTTAATTAGCGCGTGTAATTACCGCGTCATTACAATAAATGAAATCTGTTTAGATTTGCAATTTGTATAAAGGGGATGAAGTGAGATTGAAGCTTAGTTTAGGGAGGTTTTTGTTTTTTCTTTTCTATTAAATACTGAATGTTAAATTTTTTAATTTGCAGACTGTTTGGTATCCACAAAAATTGAAGTATTAAATTAAATCAAACTGTTTAACAAATATAAAAGTTAAAATCTAAAAATTATTATTTTTTAAATTTTACCCATATTTTTAACCATATCACCGCAACTACCTTATTCCTATTACCACCACCATCACAATGATAGTGGTAGTGGCGGCGGCGACGACAGTGGTGATAATGGTGACGGTGGCATAATGGAGGTGGTGGCTGCACAATAGTAGTGATGGTGATGGCCGCGGCGGCGGTGGTGGATTGTAAGTATTGAAAAATTAAGAGTGTAAAATATATTGATAGTACATTTTTCCATTATGAGGAATTTATAAAATTCTTACTAACCAACATTTGTAACAAGAAGTGATAAATAGGTGACTTGAGAGTTGTTTGATAACACCACTTAAGAATTAAAATTGAATATTTTAAGCATTTAATAAATTAAATCCGTTTGATAACCTAAAATTTATACTATTTAATATTTTAAGCACTTTTTAAAAATTGGCTAAAATTTTAAATAGTAACCCTCCTATTTATCACTTAATGCTAAAAATGTTAATCTGTAAGGATTTTATCAATTTCTTATAATGGACAAATATACCCTCACCGCTATAATATCATTGTCACCACCACCATCACCGTTGCCGCCACCATTACCAACCACCACCACCGCCTCTGCCATCACTACCACTGCCACCATTGTGCCACCATCACCACTATCATCACTGTCGCCCCACTACCATTGTGCCACTATCAGTACTACCACCACTACCACCACCACTACCATTGTGTTGTCGTTAGTCGTTAGTCGTTGCCACTACCACCATTGTCTCACTGTCACTACCACTATTGTGTCATTGCTACAACCACCACCACCATTGTGCCACCTCTACCACCACCATTGTGTCATCGTCAGTCACAGTCACTACCACCATTGCGCCATCGCTACCACCATCACCACTATTTTGCCACCGCCACCACTACTACCACTAACATTGCCGCCACCACCATCGCCACTGTTATTGTATCGCCGCCGCCGTCGCCGTTGCCACCACCACCACTACCACCATCGTCACTGTCGCTATTGCCGCTACTATCATTATGACACCACCACCACCAACACCACCGTTGTCGCCACTGCCACCATCATTACCACCATCATTGTGATGGTGGTGATAGAAATAAGATAGTTACAGATATATGGTTAAAGATAATGAAAAAATTAGAATAATAATAATTTTCATATTTCAACTCTTATATTTATCAAACAGTTTGATTAAATTCAATACTTAAATTTCAGTTAATATCAAACAATTTGTGAATTAAAAAATTCAGTATTCAGCATTTATTTTTCAGTATTCAGCTTTCAGTTTTATCAAACACCATCTTATTATTTAAAATTTTAGCATATTTTAAACAAGTGCTTAAAATATTAAGTGATATGAGTTTTAAGTTTCCAAACATGTGTAATTCATTAAGTACTTAAAATATTCAATTTTAAGTATTAAGTAATATTGTCAAACAACCTCTTAGACTCCTCCAGGTTGTGAGAGAATTTTGTAATATCTTTACTAGACTCTGGTGTATCAAGCTTCTTGTTCATGATTTAGATTCTTGGCTTTATTGGGGTGAGTATCAACTTGGATATATCTTAATCTATATTGTATCTAGGGGTAACATGAGCCTAAAAATACGGTACAACATAAGTGAGAAGTGATGGATTTGGAGAGGAAAAATTCAATATAAATAATTTTAAGAGAGATAATTAGTGATCATTAAATGAGTCTATTTGAGACATCGGATTAACTTATTAAAGTTTGCCCTGTTTTATATTATAGATATTCTTTTTCTTTTGGAATAACCTTATTTTAATTATAAAATGAATATCATGAAATTATCCATGGGAACTAACAAAAATCGTTTAGACAAAAATAAAAGAATGTTAAACTTAATAGTTTGTCATCGAATATTTAACAAGCAACATATAAGGGACATAAATGACAAAAATAGATAATATTTATATAATAAAATATAATACAATTCATATTTTAAAAGATAAAAATAATGACTTTTATTTTTCGCAATTGAGATCTTTTTAAATTTTACTTTAAAGTTAATCCAACGACGAATATTAACACATCAAATTAAATAGAGAAAATAGAACCCTAAGAGTGTGTCTGAAATTAACTTTTTAAAAGTGTTTCTAAAACTTATAACTTATCATTAGTACTTTAAAAAAAATAGTGTTTGAAACGTCCCACTATCACCAATACCACCACCCCCATCGCCCCACCACCATCATGACTACCACCCCCAACACCATCACCACTACCACAACCGCTGCCACCACCCTACCATCACATCTGCCACAAAAACATCCACCACCACAACCGCCCCATCATCATCGTCACTACTGCTACCACCATTACTGCCACCCCACATCCACCCCATCACCCCACCATTACCATCACCACCGCCACCACCACTATCGCCACCCCATCACTATCACCATTATCATCATTGTTCCACCCTCACCACCATCACCACTACCACCACTGCCGCTATC